CTTTCTCCACACAGAAGACACACAGGTTTTCCAGCTACGTCCATGAACATGTTCTTCGACTCTCACCTTGTTTGAAACCCGCGGTTCTCAGTGTCCACCTTCCGTTTTGCCATTTTTGATGGGTATCTGAAAGCTAATGTCACTGTTATGGGAACGACTGCTAGACTAATAAATATTTAAATAAAGCGGCCGACTGCTTGGCGCGTCACCGTTGCATTGTGGGAAATGTAGTTTTGGTGCGTGTAAAAGATCTGCGGGCTCTCGGCTTGCTGCGGTCCGCGGGCCGGTTCTAATAATAAATCAATATCATCCCAGGGGCCACTGAAAACATTCTCTCGGGCCGGATTTGGCCCGCGGGCCGGCACTTTGACATATGTGCTTTAGAGAATGGACTATGACGACTTGATCTGCTTCGTTCTTAATGACGCATTCATACTGCCATTAATTACAAAGGACATCATTTCACTGCATTTGACTTTTTATTCTTTCAGTCTACCTGCATTGCTCGGATGTTATTTCACTTTTTGTCATTTATGTTATTCAATGAATTCCCATGATTCCACAAATAACATGTTCCTCACATGATGTTCATCATATCTTTTGCCATGTAGTGCACATTTATTTGCTTTTTGATTGTATGAACAGCTGTTTTGCCCATAGTCTGTCCATCCCATAGTTGTGCTTGCCATCATGCTTATTTGTGATGTTGTCATAATAATTCACCAATGCATGTGTGCAGTGGCGGTTCCTGGCATGTGTGACACGTGGGCAGGGATCGCGTCCTCCCCGAGAAAACAACAACAAAAAGTTTGCCGCCTGAAATGATTTTCTATGGCATGAAGCCGTGTTTCCCAAACACGGCTACATGCACCCCTCGGTGTACATGAGCACATCGCAGGGAGGGGGTGGGGGGCGTGGAAATAGGTCATTCATTATCTCCTAGTTTGTTATCCTGTGGGACAGCCACGCCAAAATCAGAACAAGTCAACGCAAGTGTCTCAATGAGTACGTTAACATGCTGTCAATATTTGGGTTAAGGTCCAAATGCTGGTACAAGTACTTTCTGTACACACACACACACACACACACACACACACACACACACACACACACACACACACAAAAAAAAACAAAACACAAAGATTTCTTGTGGATAGAGCATGCACCAATGTTTCGCTCAAAGGAGGTAACCCGTTTGCATTTATATGACCACATTTTCGGATTAGAAAAGGGGCATTCCAGGGGCCTCTTTTGTTTTTTTAACCCAAATATGCACATATGACATGGCCTTTCAAAACCCGAACACTGGCAATATTTTGCAAAGGTTATTGACTGGATGTAAACATACTCATGAATGCTCAGATAATTGGCATTGTGGGTCTGAATATTATTTGCGTTCAGTGTTTTGTTCCTGATATTTAACATTTAAATGACTGTGCTCCTTTGAATAAGGTCCCTTTAAACATTTTTTTAGGTTAATATTCTGAGTTCTATTGAACAAATACTCCCATTACTTTGATTCATATTTTTCGATTCATATTACTTGTTTATTTTCAAGGCAACACATTTATATATTTATGTTGAATTTTAATTAGGCGGGTCCAGTGGTTACAGCATGAACCTCACAGTGCAGAGGTATCTGGAATTGAACCCGGGTTAAATTCCAGATCCGGCCTCCCTGTGTGGAGTTTGCATGTTCTCCCCTTGCCTGTGTGGGTTTTCTCCAGGTACTCCGGTTTTCTCCTACATTCCAAAAAACCTGCATGGTAGGCTGATTGAACACTCTAAATTGTCCCTAGGTGTGAGTGTGGCATGGATGTTTGTTTGTCTCTGTGTGCCCTGCGATTGGCTGGCAACCAGTTCAGGGTGTCCCCCGCCTATTGCCCAAAGACGGCCGGGATAGGCTCCAGCACCCCCGCGAGCGACCCTTGTGAGGATAAGCAAATCAGAAAATGGATGGATGGAATTTTAATTAAAAAGAAGACAATGCACAAGAATTCATCCATCCATTATCTGGACCACTTAATGTCCAAGCATTAAATGTTCAAATTAAGACAACTTTAATTAAAAATAAATAAATAAATAAAAACTCAACAAAAGGTTCACGGTATGTTTGAAAAAATATTTGGAACAAAACCTACGACTGTCCAGATCAGTCTCAAATACATCAACAAATTGGGCGTAAAAATATAAAAGTAGTTACCAAGCACAGTACTCACTTTACTCAAAGTACAAACAAAGGCAGCACAACACATCGAGTACAGTCGTTGAAACAAAAACAATATGACCACACAAAGAAGAGACAAATAATTAAAATATGCAATTGTAATTTCTAAGACTGTGAAGCAGGCGGGGAAAATTGACCGAGCATGCCGAGCAGCATTTGAAAGTAATCGTAGCTAATTCGGGGTTTTATCATTTGTATGACTTGTTGCTTTGCGTCTCCTCGTTCTGTTTTTGTGTTCTACTTTGTTGTTGTGCGTCATCCTGTTCAGTTAAATTAGTGTTGTCTTCAGTGAGTACTCAGTTCATTTCTCTGCTCACTGTTCGCTTGTTTGAGTATGTCATTCACTCAAATGAAATTGACAAAGCTCTGATCAAGCCATATTGCAGTTGGTCATGACTTGCATTACTCACCAAAGCCAGTCACACTTAATATTACAGTTAAAATAAATGAGACCTATCTTGAAAGTCTGGGTAACCTCTCTTGTGTCAAAAAGATACTGTATTAGGTCGGGCGCATTGCCTTAGAAATCACACAGAATATAAACTACAAGTGTGGCTGCAGATGCGTTATGCATCCACTAGATAGAGCCAGGCTAAAGTGAATACAGTACAGCTTTTTATCGATCGAGCCCTGGCTGCGGTTGCGATGGTGGTAGGGTACAGGAAATACAATACAGCTTTATTTATATAGAGCCTTCACAACCGCTGCAGCTGTAACAAAGCGCAGAACATTTAAAATACTACGTCCAAGAAATCAGAATATTGATCCATATGTAGCTCCCTCAGAATGTCGCATGAAGCACGACACGAAGTACATAAAAACACAGGGTGTCATGTTTTGCGAGGTTGTAGTTAGAGGACCCCAAAAAGCAGGGAGGTAGGGAGAAGCAGGTTGGATTGACCAAAATGTATTTAACAAAAATGCAAACAGGAATACACTGGAGAAACTAACTCAAAAACTCACTCAAATAAAGTCCAGAAAAAAACCACAAGAAATCAAAGTAGCAAAAACCTAAGCCAGAAAACAACACATGACACGTGCACAGAGACACACAATGATCCGACATTGACTGTTCGGGCAGGGAGTCCTTTTAACCACACACTAATGAAACAATGACCAACAGGTGTGCCACTGCAGGAGGAGCCCGACAGTGCCACCTGTTGGTCACAAACAGAACCACCCTAACACAGGCTTTAATAACTTTGCTGCTGTAAATCGGGAATTTCTCCATTGTGAGACGAATAAAGTTTTTCTTATTCTTATTTATTGGCAAGCTGAGAGAACTGGTCATGAACACTGACATATAATTAAAACATATAAATACAAATGGCATTACAAAACAATAAACGAAAGACAAAAGTTATGGAGACAATTGATTCAACAATTGATTCAACAAAAAGGCACACAAACCTCGTGGGCTCACATCCACAAGGGGCTAAATATCCTTTGAAGTCTTGCTTGTCTCCTTCCTTCTTTTCGTCGGTAGTTAACTATGCTGTTGGTATTATCTTTGTTTCATGATGGCTGTGCAGAGCTCACAAAATAGTTGTCTGTTTGAGCGTGTATTGGCGAATACACGTGTTACTGAGTGTCCGGCGGAACCCTTTTAGGTTACAATTGGTTTCTGCTAATAACCACCACGAGACTAGACACTATCCAAACACTGACAGGGAAACAACTCAATGGGGGACAAGAGACTGTAACTAACACCATATATACTGTCGGCTTTTGGGAAAATTGAATGCTGTTGGTGCGCCTTGTGGTGCGGAAAAATTTTGTTCTTGATATATCTATAAAATAACACCATACATTTTAAAATATGTATTTTGTCTTCACGCAAATGATTCTCTGCCGTAGCTGTATTCTAATGTGTTTAAAAGGATAGATACTGTAAGATCCACTCGAGTATATTTTTCATCGGTGTGTGCACGCTTGTGTTTGTTGCAGTATGTGGGTGAGTGAGTGAGTGAGTGAGTGAGTGAGTGAGTGAGTGAGTGAGTGAGCGAGCGAGCGAGCGAGTGAGTGAGTGAGCGAGCGGAAGTGGGCTGAGTTACAGCATTTCGTGACACATTACTTCATGTTTGTCAACCAGAAAGAAGAACAAACGAGAAAACTGTCAGAGGGGAGCAGAGAAAATTTGACTGTGGAGGCCAAGTTACCCGCAGGTAAGATATGCTTGCATTTAAGTCTCATGTGCATTTTCAGAAGGTGCTATGCTGATAAATGACGTCACTGTAGTTGTTCAAAGTCTATTGTAAGGTTTCGGTCACAGAATAACATTTATATTAAATAATGGACACATAAATTGTTATGCTGGTTAAGCTCATATGCTCTTTGCTGTTATGTGGACAGGTGGGGCGTCAGCTGTTCTTTGCTCACAATCAAAAAGAGGAGCTTTTAAGAGGCAAGCACGCATTGGACAGCAGCTTCAGGATCCCTGGGTTCGCCTCGTGGAACATTTCCCTCACGATTTGCGAGAAGTCCGAGACCTACACACATTTCTCCACCACCCCGCAGACAGTGCTGTCACGATGAAAAATGAAGAGACCATGGCGGAGCTGAATTGCGGTGCCGCGGATGCTACTTCAATTCATCTGTCCAACCTCACCCCCGAAGACAAAGACGAGATCCCCATGGGATCAAAAAAAGGGCCTCCGGTGGCACCCAAGCCTGCTGGGTTTCGCCAGAGCCTGAAAAAGATTCGGCACGAGCAAGACCAGAAGATGCAGGGTGAACTTGCAAAGCCAAGGCACGCTGTCGGCTTCTACAGAAGCTTCAATAGGAGATTTGACTCATCTGTTTCCAACCTGTCCATTAAAGATAAAATCCACTCATTTGAGACTTTTTCAACCCCAGCCTCTCCAGAGAAAGTGGACACTAAGAGGCATGTAGTCCCATCTAGCTCGCTTCCTCTGATGGAGAGAGAGTTAGACAGAAAACATGCCACAAACAAAAATGAAGCCTCACAAGAAATCCAGGCAAAGCAGTCTGCATCTGTCACGGGAACAGACATGTCCGATTCTCCCTCTTCTATCATAGCATTCAATCTTGAAACGAGCAGGACAAAAAACATTCCCAAGGCTGAGCCTCAATCTAGTCAATTAGCTCCCGATCACTTGCCCTCTCAGACTGATGCAGAAGCTGCGACACAGTTTTCTCATTCACTTTCAGTCCAACATGCGTTAAATATCCACCCCTCCGAAGAATTGCTTGTTACTCCTGTACCGGAAGCTCGAGGAGTAGATGTCAGTAGCTCTGCAGAGTCCAAAGATTTCTCCACTCCATGCCTCGCCTCTGTGGGACTCAGTCATGCCGAAGAAGGGAGTTCTCCAGAAATGTCAGAACAGGAAGAAGTAAAGAATCAAACAGAACATTATCACTTGAACCCAAGTGACAATCCGTCGACCGACAATACCGCTCATCGAGACCTGGAGGGAGAGAATTTTGGTAAAATCCTTGCCTTTAGCAACCAGGTATTTTTACTCACAAAAATGTTCAATTATGTCACTTTTTACAAGCTTAGACTGCATGGTGCTCACAGTGTGATAATGTAGAGCACAGGTGTCAGATCCGAACCGCCACGTCATTTTATGTGGCCCGCGGATGCAAATCACGTGTCAACTTTCATGATCCTTGCTGAAATCTGTACCGACATGTCAAATTGTCATGGGTAATAAATATCATTGAGATTTTGCATCGGCCCTCCGAGGGAAGCCGTAATTCTGAAGTGACCCGCGACAAAAAATTTGTTATGACACCTCTGAATTGTAGAGCATTAAAAAACGTTGAGTCGAGTATTCCATTTAAATGTGGTGACATGGTTTCAGGTATCGCAAGTGTTGATGCGGACCCTTCCCGTGCCCACTGAGCATGGTCCGGCCGGTTACTCTCCAAACCTCTTAACCTCCACTGGTGAAGATGTGATCAACCCCCATGAGTGTGATCCCCTTTCAGATGTCACCGACACTGGATTTTCTATTAGGTGAGGACTTACACATTTCAATGTGGGAGCAGAAACTCTCACAAGACAGAGAGCTCTTTAGTCTTTCTGTTCAACAGGAAGTGGCTTTAAAACGAAAGTTCAGAATAACCACTTCCCGTTTCATCATCGCTGTTGTACAGATAATAGGGTGCAACTACTACCCTATGCGTGATAATCTGACCATCATCTGTTTGGTTTTTTTTTTTACCCTTAACACAGCTTGGCCACTCTCAGAGCATGTACAATTGAGTTTGAGGAGGGGGGATCCCCCCAAGAAGTGGTGGTTCCCTCTGCTTGCGCTCAGTCCGTCATTTCAGCGATCCCGTGTGAGGAAATAGAGATGATGATCAAAGAAGTCAGAGCTCTGGACGAAGATGTGCTGACGGTAAAACAACGGCAAAAATTAATATCCTGTCTAGCCGTTACAGGTAGCTGGCGACTACCTGACCTGACCTGACCTCGCCTTAACCCCTCTCAGGGACAGCGGTTACTACAGTGGACAGCCTATTATGTTATCAGGTTATAGGTTATCATTATTGGTGCATGAAAGGGTTCAGCAGGGAGCTTGTCCTCTCTGCTGGGTAACAGAAGAGCAATGTTGGTGCGATTGTGGTCTAGTAAAAGTAGCCAAAGCAAAGACAAAAAAACCAAAGCAGCGAAACCACTCTAATACGTTGCACAGATACGTTGAAGAGCTGCTGACTCTTCGTTTGACGAGCATGATTTGTTATTGAAATTAGTAATCTTTTCAAAACAGTAGGCTGATTCACTTACATTAATGTGGAAATCAGAGTTTGTCTGTCAGCCTTTTGGCAAGAGGTGGTATTGACACGCTGGACTGATTGCCAACCAATCACAGGGCACATATGGAAAAAAAGGCTTTCACAATCACGTTCGCAATTATAGGCAATTAATTTCTTTTCAATTAGCCAAACTTTTTGGAATGTGGGAGAAAGGCCACGCAAGCATAGGAAAGATATGCAAAGCCCACACAGGAAAGCCACAAATGAGATTTGAAGTGTGAACTTCAGAACTGTGAGTCGTGTGTGAATCTTGGCTATCGGGCTGTCCTCTTATTTATGGCTTTAATTCTTGTTAACTTTACCCATCCCTACTTTAGACCTGCTGTAATCTTACTTACTATTGAAGTATGCAGCCATCTGTGAGTACTAAACAATCAGACCGTATTCTTTGCCCCACTTAAAAGACAAAGGTGATGGAATTTAAGTCTGCAGCAGTTAAAATTAATAGAAATTGTGATGTGTGATAATTTTTTTTTCTGACTTTGATTTCGTACAGGGGTGGGCAATTTTCCCATATGAGAAACTGGAACACTTAAGCCAATATGCAAACCTCAACTTTTTGTATTTTATTGGTAATATTTTTAGAAAAAGCATTTCTCCTCCTTCAACAAATTGTGACGTGCAGATATGGAACATGCAAACTCCACACAGGGAGGCCGGAGCTGAAATTGAACCCGGTACCTCTGCACTGTGAAGTCGACGTGCTAACCACTGGACTACTGAGCCGCCTTATATTGATACAGTCATACCTGTCAACTCATACGGTTTAGCCATATTTTATATGGATTTTGTGGTGAATCTTACGTATATGGCCATATCGCACAAATCATATGGATTCTGAAAATTTCTTTTTTTTTTTTTTTTTTTTCCCCCCTAACAGGTAGTTCCGTTTGCTTTTGCCCAGAATGGTGCTCGTCTACTCGAATGCTTTCATTTCCGGTAACGTTCCAGTAAATCACGTGGTTCCTAGTTGAAAACAGCAGAGGTCAGAATTTGCAGCAAATTCAATTTCAGGACAGAAGCATACAACATGACAACCAATTGATTGATGTTGGTATGAAAACAAGAGATACACTTTGTCAGCTTGAGGAAGATGGGTGAGACCCTCAAGTCAAAGATGCATTCTTTCTAAGCGTGCGATGTTTTTATGAGGCAGAGTTAAAAAAGATGATTACAAAGTTTCCCTGGGAAAACCAAACAATCAAGGATCTGATAGTGTTGGATCCAAAAAAAAGACTCGATATCGACTACACTGTCATAATCAGATTGGGTGAAAAATTTGTCAAAGACCATGACCCAGAAGAACTCAAGGATGAGTTTGAGGAGTATCAGCTTTTGAGTGATGAGGACATTAAGTATACAAATGAAGATGGCACATCAAAGGCAGTGGATAAAATTTGGTTGGGAATTATGACTATGAAAACACCCATGGGCAAACCAATGTTTCATCATCTCAGCAAAGTGATGGAAGCAGTACTTTGCTTACCTCACAGCAATGCAGACTCTGAAAGAGTCTGCAGTGTTGTGAGAAAGGTTCACACAGATTTTCGAAAATCGCTTACACCAGAAACACTGACAGCATTATTGCAGTGCAAAGTAAATATGAATGGATGCTGTAACTTCGAGCCGATGGGTCAGCATTTGGAGTTGGTGAAAAAAGTAATGCAGGAATACAACTCTGAACACAGTAATGCCACGAAGTAGAATGATGATTAGACATTCACCTGCCATTGTATTATGGAGATCTACAATAAATATCATTAAAAATTTCGTGGGTTTTTTTCTGCCGTTATTTTGACATATAAAATGCTTTGGTATGTTATAAGGATTTTTTGCTCTTTATAAGGATTTTTTTGGTAGTTTATATGGGTTGGCGCTCCGAAAGGTTGACAGGTATGTACAGTGATGATTTATAATCCAGCCAATACATACAGTACCACTAGATTTACGTACAGAATTATCAGGCCAAGTTTTCTCAGGACTCTTCCCACCACCGTGCAGGAAATATCCACGTTGCTAACATTAGGACCACTGTTGCCATTTTTTCTCATATCTTGTTCAGGAAAAATACACACAAGGTACCGTATACAGGGTGTCCATAACGTCTGGGTATGGTCAAAAAAACAAAACAAAACAAAACATATACTTCTTGAAACAATTTGATTTAATTGTAATGTTGCTAAATAATATTTTTAAGATGATTTCCATAATTTTCAGCAAATAATTTGATGCGCTTTGCAGAATTCAGGTTAATTTTATGGAATATGTCTGCATTGCCGTTGATTCAGAAACATGGCATGACAGACTAAGCACTGACGGAGGCAGGTTTTCATCCATCAGTGTAATCGTCACTAACCGGGTCAAGTACCTCTCAGTCTGTCAAAGATGGACGCCCATTTAACTGACAACTGACAGCATCAGAAATGGAATCATCTTTATTGTTAAATGTCTTATTTGTGTATGTTTATGTGTCTTATTAGATTAAAAAATAAATAAATAAAACCTGACGTGTATACCGGCCTGAGGGGAAAGCCCTGTGGAGGGAACTCATTTTGGCCACTTGTGTCTGTGATATTGTCTAAGTCAGAATCGAAGGATGTTGTGCAGTCCCATGTTGACTGCGTCATCCACTGACCTGTTTGCCCGCTAGGCAAACTGCAGGGGGTCCAGCAAGAGCCAGTGATATTCTTTGGGTGGTCCACAACAAGGCGTTCGAAGGACTTCATGACCACAGACATCAGGGTATGGACACTAGGTATGGACTGACAATCAATGGACCGGCGGAATTTACTGACAGATGGATGGGAGCGTGGTTAAATATAACGACTGACGATTACAGTTTGGTTCGACTTGAAATAATGACGGACTGACAATGGAGGAGAGGTGCCTGAGACGCTGATGGATAATGAACAACACAAATTTTTAAATGCCCACCTCTGCTACCTCACTGTTACTAGCTTTCCATAGGTGTTTTCAAAATAAAAGCACTGCATAGCTTACGTTTTGGTTTGATAACAAGGTCACTGTCACTATAAGGGCTGGTCAGAGAGTATAGGCTGGCCAGATTTGGCCGCCCAGGCCGCACTTAGCTCAGATCCAATTTAGCATCTACAGTATATTTTTTCCTATGTCTGCTCATGGTCTGTCCTTCGTTCGATGTTGCGATTTAACAAATCGCAACATCAAACGAGTAATAATTATGACTGTCATGAAACAAGAGCTTTCTCCTCAGCAACTGCAAGACATCCATGTTGTGATTCTGCACAAGGAAGAGGGAGCTGGACTGGGCTTCAGCATTGCTGGAGGCTGTGACAGGGAGAGTAAAACTCTGACAGTAAGTAAGCATCGCTCACAACACCTTTGTTTGTTACACATCATCTTCAATTCAGTCTGCTTTGGCTGTAACCTTTGGGATGCTTATTAATATGTAACAACTTGTACAAGCTCTCCAAAACCCACACGATTAAAGCTGATCTCTGCGGACATGTGTGGTGGATGTCATCATATTTCATTCAACACCAAGCAAGCACCAACCTCTGGCACTCCTTTGAGAGCCACACAAACATGCTTTTTGCGTCCTTGTCGGAAGCGGTGATCAGGTTCAATGTTTCAAGTCTACAGTATTAACGCTTTCAGGGACAGCGGTTACTACAGCGGACAGCTTATCATGTTATCAGGTTACAGGGTGCATGAAAGGGTTAAACCATAGGTCTCATCTTTGATGTAGATCAAAAAAAGAGGTTACGTTTGATGAAGTGTCCCTGCCATCTGTGTGCTTTATCAAAACAATGTCTGCAGTCATCAATGAGTGTAATGCAAGTGGGAAAAAACATTCTTGCTTGGGCAGGTACACAAAGTGTTTCCCAACGGCCTTGCCACACAAGAGGGCACTATCCAGAAAGGAGACGAGGTGCTGTCTATCAATGGCCAAACACTCCGTGGCGTTACACATGCAGATGCCACTGCGGCACTGCGTCAAGCCCGCACTCCACAACTTGCTGTGGTCGTCGTCTGCAAGAGAGCAGAGGAACAGAGGGAAGACAGAAGGGAGGAGTCCATCTGTGCAAGTGCGTGAGTTCATTCAAATCGCCATCCATCCATTTTCCGATCCGCTTTATCCTCACAAGGGCCGTGGGGCGTGCTGGAGCCTATCCCAGCTGTCTTCGAGCAGTAGGCAGGGGACACCCTGAACTGGTTGCCAGCCAATCGCAGGGCACACACAGACGAACCACCATCCACGCTGACACTCACACCTAGGGACCATTTTGAGTGTTCAATCAGCCTGCCATGCATGTTTTTGGAATGTGGGAGGAAACAGGAGTACCCGGAGAAAAGGCCAGAGGAGAACATGCAAACTCCACACAGGGAGGCCGGAGCTGGAATTGAACCCGGTACCTCTGCACTGTGAAGCCAACGCACTTACTAACTGGTCGATGACCGGGCCGCCACTGATCCATAAAATGTAAAACTTAATTGAGGGAAAAAAACTTTTCCAAAGAGAGAAAACATCAAAACATGGTCTTGCCTACCAATAGGCAGTTTTTCCGAAGGGTGAATTAAAAATAAGCAGCTGAGATAATGTGCTTGCACGCGTAAGCACACCCTCTATCATGGGGATGTGGCAGTGTTCAGAGTTAAGCAATCACATTCAAACATGTTAAATAGGAGCCTGCACACACCTGCCACTATTTATAAAGCCCCAGATTATCCCCCAAATACTTTGCAGCTGTTCTAGCGTGCTTTTTTCCCCCTGAGATTCACAGTAGTCACATCTTACAGCACAAGCCATGGTCTGCGGAAAGCTTCCACAGCATCAGAGGCATCTCGTTGTTCAAAGGCCTCAGTCTTGAAACGATACAAAAGAAGTTCTAAGGGGTTAAATAAAGTATGAAAATACTTAAATGGAGGCAGTGGCACAACAGTGACATGACCAAGAATTGGATCCCTCTCCAAAATTGTCGAAAAGACTCTATAGAAGATAAGCCATCAGGTAAGCTGCCAAGAGCTCAATAGTAACATTGAAATGGTTGCAGATATTTCTGGAAAGTAATGGCCGTTAATGCATGTGCCCTTCAAACTTCTGCTAGAAACAAAAACAACCTCAAAAATGTCATAAAAGCCCTCTGGACTAACTGAACTTTGTTTGGGGTGAATTGGAGGCACTTTGAATGGTAGCAGGAGTACAGTATATACTGACTCTCTTTTAATTCTAAACACATTCCCAGTCAAAAGGCACACTTGTGCAACCACATTATCTCAGTTGGTTATTTTTACAACCCCTCTTGAAAAGATTTCAATTTATTTTGAATCCGTTTGTCTGTTTGCAGTGGAGGAGTCCGGCACTTTGGTGAGTGTGGAGCTGAAGAAAGGTGCAGGTGGAGTTGGCTTCACTTTGGAGGGAGGAAAGGGTTCGCTGCATGGAGATAGACCGTTATTCATCAACAGGATCTTCAAAGGTAAATAAGGTTTTAACTCAGTTATGGGGCAGATGCATGGTGGGTTAGTGTTTTTTGGGGCCAGTGCGCTGACATTTAAATTATTATTATCCTCCGTTTTACCCCAAGAGACCTGCCCACAATTTAGAAGGAGGAGCCCATGAATCCATTTGCAATTTCGGCAGCAAACTGAACCAGTCAATATCAGCAGCAGAGCTACGTGATAGCCAAGGGTGGTTAGAAGTCATGTCTGGATGCATATTTTCAAGGAATCCGTCTTTAGAATCGAACATTTGATTCTTGCAGTCATTATCAATTAAATCCATTTTTTTTTTACACCATAGCTGGTAAACAGCATGGCTGATAAGTCACAGTTTATTATGCCATCCACAGCCATGAATTAAAATGCTCAAATATGCAGAAACTTGCCCACCACATTCATAATAATAAAGTATTATTTCGGATCTGTCTCTGTGCTTCCCGGTACCAGATGAACTGTGGCCCAGTACAGCCCAAAACTGGCGGTTGGGGACCATCTACAGCAGGGGTGTCAAACTCAGGTCCTGGAGGGCCGCTGACCTGCACGTTTTCCAAGTCTCCGTGTTGCAACACACCTGATTCAAATGAACAGGTTCAATTTCAGGCTTCCGCAGAGCTTGCTGATGATCTGATCATTTGAATCAGGTGTGTTGCAACAGGGAGACTTGGAAAACATGAAGGACAGCGGCCCTCCAGGACCCGAGTTTGACACCCCTGATAGAGCAAAATGTCAAAATCAAGGCCCAGTGGCCAGATCTGGCCTGCCACATTATTTTATGTGGCCCGCGAAAGCAGCTGAAACATGTCAACTTCCATGATCCTTTCTAAAATGCCTCCCAAAATTTTAAATTCTCATATGTAACAAATAAGAAATATATTCGAAGCATTTTCTTGTTACCAAATACCTCATGATAGTAACTTTAAACAAGGAGTGTCAAACATACAGCCCGCGGGCCGGAACCAGCCCACAAGGAGTTTCGATCAGGCCCGCAGGATAATTTAAAAGTGAAAAAAATGCATAAAAGACACGAAATGAATATTTTTAATAAGGTGCACTTCATGGAGTATTTACTAGGGCGACACACTGTTTTGATCAGAGTAAAATGACAACATTGTTTTGATCAGAGAAGAAGGCAACTGCAGCCTCAGTCTGTCACTGAGACAGACCCAACACAGCGGACGCTATCAAAGACATATGAATACTTTATTCTTGACACATTTAATAGCACTCTCCTTAGTTTGTAAGGTGTAGGTAGGGATTACATTTAGATTTTATATGCACGTGTAAATGGTTTAAAAATTCCTTTCTTTATAAATCTCGTTTAATCTAAAAGTGCATGACTATATTTTTCAATACCAATTACTTGTTAAAGTTTTGTGCCTTTGTGCTATCAGTTGCAATGCATATATGTGAATGATAAAAGTAAATTGCACGTGTCAAAGGAAATCTAAGGAGCTTCATGAAATTTTTTGTAAAAGATCTGCTTATTAAATGGCAACATTTTCCTAATGTTCTTGTGCTTCTTAGACCAAAACAAAGACAAGACATTATTTTGATTATTTATAGCAGAGTATGGCATAATTTTAATGGTCCGGCCCACTTTACATTTACCGAGGCCTTGTGTGGCCCACAATGTGAAATGAGTTTGACACCCCTGACTTAAACAAGAGTTGAATCTACAGTTATTCTTGGCTTCTTCTATGGTTTCCGTCATAACTGCCCTCCAAGTGAAACGGTAACTGAAATGTGGCCCGCTCCTAAAATGAGTTTGACACCCCGATCTAGAGCAAGGGCGCCCAACCTTTTTTGACGAAAGATCTAGTTTTCAAGCAACCAAAATACCGTATCTGCACGCATACACGCACTCATTCATACGCATGCACACACGCATGCAACGATGAGCAACCGCCATGACGGTCCATAACATCAATGAAACCGAAAAATAAAGTAGATGCAAAGTTTGTGAGTTTGTGAAAGGGAAATCACTGCCTACCTTAGCAGAGAACTGATGCGGAGGCATTGGACGCACTTTTGCAGCGTCTTAAGTGCAATAACATCGCTATCGTAGCTCACACGATCTGTTTTTAAAATGTTTCTCCTGGCGCTCCAGATTCCCATTCTTTGCAGTTGCCATCGGTGAATTGTAGATGAGACACACTTTAAATGAGAATAACAATAACAAAAGAGATCTCAGCGGCCCTGATCATAGGCTGCAATGGTAGACTGCTGACCGCTAATAGCTTCCAGTGGTGCAGGTGACGCGCCGCCGTAGGTTAAAGGTGACCTGCTTTTTTAATTTCATTTGTTTTTAAATACTTTGTGAAACTGATAGTCTGTTTAGTGTACGAACACAAAAATATCTAATATATAATAACACGCTCACACACTTTTTTTTTCTCCATTTCTCTCTTCACCCCTCGCAATTTACTTTGGACCAGTCCGCGTGATACTGGTCAATCGCGATCGACTAGTTGGGCACCCCTTATCTAGAGTATCTAGACTGTTAATGAAGTTCTAGCCAGACATCTGTGAAAAGCGTGTGGCACATGGGGTGGACTTCTATGATTTCTTCCAGAAGTGTCGTGAACCAGTTTAAATTTCAGTATCAAAAGGTGAATTTTTCTGTTCTGCAGCAGCCAAGTCCAAGCACTTTGTGATGCAGAATAGTCTCAGAATATTTTTATTATACAAGGGATAGTCATTCACCAGGCACCTGTAGCTTCAGGAAGGAATAAGAGTCGAGAATCAATGGAATGATCGAGATATAAGGGTGGAGGGGCAGTCAGTCGTTTTTTGTGTGGAGAGTAAAAGACATGTCTTGCCTTCATCTCGTCACCCACAATATTATTACAAATGAGCATTGTTCTTCAGGTGGAGCAGCAGAACGATGCAGTCTTCAGTGTGGAGATCAAGTTTTGCAAGTCCAGGGTACCAGTCTTCAGGATATGACCCGCTTTGAGGCCTGGAACATGATCAAGGCTTTACCCGACGGGTCCATCACAGTGGAAATCAGGAGGAGACACAGCCACTAGAAGCTCTTTTCACTTCAAGAGGCCGCAAATCGCAACAGTGGATACGCATCCCAAGGACCTTTCCTTGAGATAATCACTCAAAGAATGTTGTACTGTTGTCAGCAAATTCATGGAAACCAGGTATTAGCTTCCCAGCATGATGCAGCATTTTTTATCTTTAAAAACACTGTTATTTCCTTCAGTTACAATAATCTCTGCAAAGTTACAGGACAACTCTGGAATTAGTTTGGGTCCTTCTCAGTTATGTACCTGAACATCTCATTGAATCTGTCAAGCATTATTGATTCATTTCAAATAAAGAATCTCAGCGCTTTTGTATGACAATGGTTGGTGCCGTAAATACCCTGCTCAGCATATTACCACTATCAATTTACAATGTATTAATTTTCAGGGACCGATATTCAATACAAAACAAAGTACAATGTTTAAAAAATTAAATGGAAAAATAAATAAAATTCACTCCCAAATACATATTTACATGTCTTTTCACACTCTACACATTCAACCCCAGATACTTGTTTTTTTTTTCAATTTTTCCAAGACTTAGGGTAAAAAAAAAAAAAAAGGGTCTAGAATTGGCTGGTACTGAATGAGTTAAAATACTGTATCTGACCAACCATATGGGGAAAAACATGGCTTTTCTTTTTGTTCACCGACAGGAATTTAAAATCCATCCATTTTCCGATCCACTTGATCCTCACAAGGGTCGCAGGGCATGCTAAAGCCTATCACAGCTGTCTTCGGGCAGTAGGCGGGGGACACCCTGAACTGTTCGCCAGCCAATCGCAGGGCACACAAAGACAAACAACCATCCACGCTCACACTCACAGCCAGGGACAACTTAGAGCAGGGGTGACGAACTCATTTTAGTCGCGGGCCAATTTGGAGTTACATCTTCCCTTGGAGGGCAGTCATAACAGTGAAACTACAAAATAATTATTTTTACGCAACAAATTAATAGATTAATAGTTTTTAAATCAGTCAAGTCGATTAAAATAGTTTGTTTAAATGAGGGTAAACGGGGTACAAAATGCTCCACCAACACGCCTTCCTCGGAGGAAGCAGAGTCTGGGGATCCCGAGGTGGGCTCTCCTATCTCTGTGGTTGAAGTCACCGATGTGGTTAAAAAGCTCCTCGGTGGCAAGGCCCCAGGGGTGGATGAGATCCGCCCGGATTTCCTCAAGGCTCTGGATGCTGTGGGGCTGTCCTGGCTGACACGCCTCTGCAGCATCGCGTGGTCATCGGGGAGAGTGCCTCTGGATTGGCAGACCGGGGTGGTGGTCCCTCTTTTTAAAAAGGGGGACCGGAGGGTGTGTTCCAACTACAGAGGGATCACACTCCTCAGCCTCCCTGGTAAGGTCTATTCAGGGGTGCTGGAGAGGAGGGTCCGTCGGGAAGTCGAGCCTCAGATTGAAGAGGAGCAGTGTGGTTTTCGTCCTGGCCCTGGAACTGTGAACCAGCTCTACACCCTTAGCAGGGTCCTCGAGGGTACGTGGGAACTCGCCCAACCAGTCTACATGTGTTTTGTGGACTTGGAGAAGGCATTTGACCGTGTCCCTCGGGGAGTTCTGTGGGGGGTGCTTCGGGAGTATGGGGTACCGAGCCCCCTGATACGGGCTGTTCGGTCCCTATACTGCCGATGTCAGAGTTTGGTTCGCATTGCCGGCAATAAGTCGGAATCGTTTCCAGTGAGGGTTGGACTCCGCCAAGGCTGTCCTTTGTCGCCGATTCTGTTCATCACCTTTATGGACAGAATTTCTAGGCACAGCCGAAGCGTTGAGGGGGTCCGTTTTGGGGGCCTCAGTATTGCATCTCTGCTTTTTGCGGATGATGTGGTACTGTTGGCTCCTTCAAGCAGGGCTCTCCAACTCTCACTGGAGCGTTTCGCAGCCG